GTATGAAACGGCGAATGGGTCGATAACGTGGAAAAGGCCGATAGCGCGCTGAGTTGATGATTACCTCTGATGTAAGCCTTGGAAGAGCGAATTCAGAATAAGTCAGCACAGCGCAACAAGCTCCCACAGGCCAGCCGGCGTTCGTCAGACTTTGGTCTGCACGATTATAATAATTTAGAAATGTTTGACTGATTAGTAGTTGTCTGCAAATTGCACACTCATTACTCCCTGACCGCAAATACGGATTCTATGCTAATGTAAATATTTGGACCTGAAAATTAACTGCAAATATGATAGGGATAGAAAATGATTCAGCCTATAAATATGTAGGTGTATTAGACAGACATACCAGCCTTGGCATGGTTGTTGCACCACAATTCATCTCCAACTGAAGAACCTTCTCTCATGGAGGATGATGAGGGCGATATTTCGTCGGGCATCCATCGATCGGGAAAACTAAGAACTAAGTGACAAATATTGCCCGAACTCACCATCGGTCTCCAGTTGATACTGAAGCGGTTGGAAATACACCGTCGATATCTTCCGGAATATAATCACTAGTCTTGCTACTCTCTGTAATAAAGGAAGAAAAAAACAGAAATTAAACAACATCATATGCTAGCTATAAGGCAGTAGATGCTCAACGAAACGGTAAGACTGACCGATTTCATCTGGGACAAACGGCTGCCGGTCTAGGCGGAGTACCTCTACTGAAACGTTGCTGCTTGTGTGGTATTCTGCTTCCTTAGCTTTCGGTACTAGGCTCGCGGACGCGTAATGAAACAGAGAGACCCTATGTAATACGTAGTTGTCTAGATCTAGAAAGAAAGCAAATATAAATTTTGGCAATTTTTGAGGGGTGTTGAAGAAATAAGAACAAACAGCACCTTTAAGGTAAGTAACCCAGAAATGCGTACAGGCTGTTGCACAAAAGTGATGCATAAGCACCCATGTCTGATAAATTAGGAGGGTAAAAACGAAACAGTTCGTTGGCTACCAAGACCAGAGGATTAATTCTCGTTTACAGGTATCAAAAACCTGCCTTGGAGGTGAATCTGGACATCTCCTAGAGGGGAAGCATTCGGTAGTAAGCTTTGGCGGCCTTCTTTGGATTCGAAATCGGGAGACTAGAAGCAACGCTTGAGTACATGCGATATCCTCATAACCTGAGCTGTGAGAATCTGACTCAGCCCACCGATGTTTCAGGATTATATCTGCCGAATTATGAAACTACTGACAAATAACCATTGGGGTTAGTCTGGTTTCGCGATCAGTACGCTTAGTTCACATAAATGCCTACAAAGTTCATAGTAGTAAAATGCTTATATTTTTTGCTGTTATGCGAGAGTCACCTGTCTTAACTTAAACTACCGTCCAACCAGGGTAACTATCTCACAATATTCGATGCGACTTCGAAACACTCGAAACATCGCTACCTATTAATTTACTAGAACTAATTTGCAAGAACAATTTTTTTCTTTTACTTTGAGTAAGATGATGTTATAAATCTTAACACGGCTTCGGAGGTAACAATTCTGGGAATTTGAACTAAATCGTGCTCCACATACCTCGCGTTCCCTGTTTTCCTGGCGATTTTAGTTATCACGATGAGCCAAGAACAGGGTAGCAGTCTTCCACAACGTCCACGGAGGCCGGCCATCGATCAGGTCATTTACTCACTGGAAGTTGAAGCCTCTCGGTCACTAGTAAGGCCTCCTATCTAACGCTTTTCTGATTCTTAGGGACCCCCAGCCAGAGGAGGTGTATGGGCCATCGTACGATACCATTCCTGTTTGCGACAACTGTTAGGGGTGCAGCTTGACCAAAAGCTAGCAACTTTGCGGGCGCTCCTGAGGCGTCGTGCCCGCCACCGACTGCAACAATGATTCCTTTGTCAACCTGAGGGCTGCCGTCAACGTCATATGCCCACGCGGGGGGGTGCGCCCACGTGATGACTGTCCACACGCA